AATGTATGTTATCCATCTATTCAATAAACTAAACGAATTGGAATAATCATCGAGTTAGAGGTTGAGTTGAGAGTTTGAGTTAACCTATTAATTTACCATTGAGTTTACGTTGACTTTGAGTCAAATATGTCATTCCATATAAGAATAATATATATATTTTGATAGTGTTATGAAATTTAGGTTTTCTAGCAATTGATAAAGATCCTTATAATCCGAGTTGAAGAAATTCACTGAGGAACCTCATTTATGGTGGCCCATATGCACCTCTACCGCCACATTCACTAAAAATACATTCTCTACAGCCACATTCAAATACATTCTCTCTACCACCCATCCACATACATCATCTCTACAACCACATTCCGACATACATTCAATGTATGGTAACTCAATGCCTAACTCAAATTCAACTCAACTTAGTTCTAACTCGATAGATAGCTAATCCCTACTTAATCAGTCTTTCAATCACTACAGGCAGCTATCCCATCAATAAGCAAAACAATCATTTCACAGCTAACAAGCTTGCTTGCTTGCTTGCCCGCCTGCCTGCCTGCCTACTTGCCTCCTTGCAACTGACAAATGCAAACGGGTCAATGCATCAACCAAGAAAGCAGCAGGCAACGAGAGTAACGCTAGCCTGTGTACATCCGTTTCTCACCCCTCCAAAAAAATTTTTTTGGAGGGGTGAGAAACGGATGTACACAGGCTAGAGTAACGCATACTCCTATCCAATTTACCTGTGACAGAACCAAAAGCTCTTTTCGAATTCTTTGKATTTGCAGATGTTGTAAGCAAAGCTCCTGAAATCCAAGGCATCCTTTTACCAATTCCTTTACCGTTACTACTGTACGTCCAGTTATCAAACTTCTTTAGGAGTCGCACGTTGGTTTGTTTGTTATTTTTGGCTGTGAATGTGTACGAACGATCAGCTTCCCATATGCCGCCCCATCGACCTGATGACAACAATATAAAACAAAGAATAGTTTTCACTACTTCGAAACGTTTTTTGTGATAAAGCTAGTGTGAGCTGCGTCGCCGGTGTTTCTAAAGAAACACTTTGTGTAAAAAGATGAATTTAACACCGTAAAAAATTGGTGAAACACTAACTGACGTTTCAGTGGTAAATTTATCTTTTTACACAACTGTTTGTAATAAAGAGCATTGCCTAGCTTATTGATTCCATATGTGCCACTCTATATCAAAGAAATGTCATTCGTGCGGGATCCCTGGGCAATTTAGTTTTGGACTCTCTTTAGGAAATCTATGCCATATATGGAAACAAACAAAATGGCCGATTGTTCAGAAGTGTTTTCGCTATAATATCTGCAAGGTTCAGACGATTTCATGATTTAAAAGTCGAGATATACTGCCAAAAATTAGTCCACACGTACTTCCAAATAAAGTAAGATCGCCATATATGGCTGCTAAACGAAGGAAACGTTTCTGAGGTAATAGTCTCCTTCAAGGTTACCTGCGCCATCTTGAAAGGTAGCCGTGCCTTGGCATCGAAGCGAGACAACCGTTGAGAGTTCAATGATAGCAACCTTCTTTCACATCTACAGACAATTATTCACAGGTATCTATCATTGCACGCTCAACGGTTGTCTCGCTTCGATGCCAAGGCACGGCTACCTTTCAAGATGCACAGGTAACCGTGAAGGAGACTATTCTTTGATGTGGAAAACAATTCAATCGAAGAACATTGGTATCACTACTCCTCTGCTATATGGAAAAACATTGACGTCTTAGAGCACACCCCAGAATTTGGAGTTTAACGTCTAAGATCTAATACTAATTCCTATGGCTAATATAGTGTTATCCAATGAATAAGAGGGGCAAAATAAATAAATTCCTAAACAATTTACTGGAAAAAATGGCGCGCTTTAAAGGTTGTAAATTTGATGTATTTATGTTGTAAGTGTCCATAATGATGTAAATTTACATCATTTTGGACACTTTAATATTTCCATCAAATTTACAACCTTTAAAGTGCGCGATCTTTTCCACTGGTGTACTAATAACTATTATCCAAACACGAGAAGGGAGCAATCCGTTTTATTGCATAAAGGGACATTGGAATAGTTGAAAGGCGATTGGTTTATCGTTGATACTAATTAATGAGTATAATTCTAACCTGGTCTGTCAGCTTCCAGACGATACTCAAATGTTGATCCTTGGACTTTCTGATTATCTTTGATAACATCAGCATATTTCAATATGGAGTAGTCATCGGTTAAGCTCGGCTTGCCAGCATTCCTCGACATTACGTCATCCGCAGTCCATGTATTTGTTGCACTAGAAACCAATAGCGTCCATCCACCTCCATCACGTGACATGTCACAATACGTTTTGATTGGAGAATTGGAGGGGCCTCTGGGATAGATATCGTACACTCCGTCGTGGAAGATTTGGTTGTTTGAGGTGGAAATGAACTGGAGATGTCGACAAGAATTGGCCTCTAAAATGTTATGAAATTAAGTAAGTTCATAGCCCGTCAATTTCGTGGTTTCGTCTTGTTAGCTTTAGCTACTTACTTGGACAAGCTTTTGTGTTACAATCCCGTTCTTCATGCAGTTTTCCTTGGCAGTCTTTCCCGCCATACATTGGGAACGGGTTGTTACAGAATCGATGTCGAGTTTGTTTCCCGCCATTGCAAACACCAGTACACTTGGACCAATCAGACCAACTACTGAAGCCACCATTTTGAGGCGCAAAAGCTATTAGAGAAGGGCTGTTAGCAATTAAAATAAGAGTATAGGGTGTTCAAAAAAGTCTGTTACATTTCTAACAACAGAGAACTAACGTTGAATAGCAAGTATGATGGAAGTACTGAATGAAATTGTCATATATTCCATGGCGAAGTGATTTCACAATTTCACTTTGGATTTTCTGTGGTGTGTACTCTTATCGAACATAGAATAAGCTATAATAAACCCAGATAAGGTGGGGTCTAATAGCAACAATGCATTGCGGTCTTGGAATGCGTTATGCTGCATCCCAGTATTCAGTATTCAACATTTTTTGAAAGACAAATATGCAATGAATCACCGTTTTTGCAGCCTGTTTTAGGATCAAAGAGTCCATGGCAATGACATGCTCCAGATCTTGTACAGACCTCAAATATAGTAAACATTTATCACTCAATCGAACAATCGCAACAATCATTCATGGCATAGGCGATGTGTAGCGACGCCATTTTGTGCAGCATAGCATGATGGTCGTTGTAGTCCTCACAATAGTCTCCTTCACGGTTACCTGCGACATCTTGAAAGGTAGCCGTGTCTTTGCATCGAAGCGAGACAACCGTTGAGCGTGCAATGATAGAAACCTTCTTTCACACCTACAGACAATTATTCACAGGTATCTATCACTGCGCGCTCAACGGTTGTCTCGCTTGCATGTAAAGGCACGGCTACCTTTCAAGATGGCGCAGGTAACCGTGAAGGAGACTATGATTATAGACACTGGAATATATATCCTTTAAAACCCTTTTTTACGCTTTCTTTGTAGAAACGGCAACACAACATCCGGTTTTCCTTAGAAAAAGCAAAACATTTCAGGTGAACTGTTTTAGTGGACATGAAAATGTGTACGACGACTAAAACTACCATCATGCTTTGCCGCAAAAAATGTCGTCCCAGTACATTTAATTGCTTATTGGAATTTTCAAATGGAATTTGATTAAAATCTCTAATAGTCTCCATCACGGTTCCAAGCGTGATCTTAGAACGTAATCGTGCTAGCTTTGCATCGAAGCGAGACAACTGTTGGTCATGCAATTATGGATGAACTGCTGTGAATAATTGTCAGCAGGTGCGTGAGCAAAGGTAATTTCCATCCTTGCACTCACAACGGTTGTCTTTCTTCTATGCAAAGGCACGGTTTCCTTTCAAGATGGCGTGGGGGAGCTTGAAGGGGATTATTCTGTAAAGTAAGTACAAATTCAAAAAGTCAAAAAGCAAATCTTCGTACTCCCTGTCCGTTGCACACTTTTCCATTAACCACTGGACATTTCTTGATGTTCAGCTCAGCAAAGGACTTGCATTGATTACCGCTGCAAATCTGTTTCCAAAAACGTAGAATATTAACTATTTTGACCTGCGCTGCAAAACTGAAAAGGCTAAAGGATTAAGCAATTCCTAGTATATAACAGGNATCCAATGAATAAGAGGGGCAAAATAAATAAATTCCTAAACAATTTACTGGAAAAAATGGCGCGCTTTAAAGGTTGTAAATTTGATGTATTTATGTTGTAAGTGTCCATAATGATGTAAATTTACATCATTTTGGACACTTTAATATTTCCATCAAATTTACAACCTTTAAAGTGCGCGATCTTTTCCACTGGTGTACTAATAACTATTATCCAAACACGAGAAGGGAGCAATCCGTTTTATTGCATAAAGGGACATTGGAATAGTTGAAAGGCGATTGGTTTATCGTTGATACTAATTAATGAGTATAATTCTAACCTGGTCTGTCAGCTTCCAGACGATACTCAAATGTTGATCCTTGGACTTTCTGATTATCTTTGATAACATCAGCATATTTCAATATGGAGTAGTCATCGGTTAAGCTCGGCTTGCCAGCATTCCTCGACATTACGTCATCCGCAGTCCATGTATTTGTTGCACTAGAAACCAATAGCGTCCATCCACCTCCATCACGTGACATGTCACAATACGTTTTGATTGGAGGATTGGAAGGGCCTCTGGGATAGATATCGTACACTCCATCGTGGAAGATTTGGTTGTTTGAGGTGGAAATGAGCTGGAGATGCCGACAAGAATTGGCTTCTAAAATGTTATGAATTAAGTAAGCTCATAGCCAGTCAATTTAGTGGTTTCATCTTGTTAGCCTTAGTTACTTACTTGGACAAGCTTTTGTGTTACAATCCCGTTCTTCATGCAGTTTTCCTTGGCAGTCTTTCCCACCATACATTGGGAACGGGTTGTTACAGAATCGATGTCGAGTGTGTTTCCCGCCATTGCAAACAGCAGTACACTTGGACCAATCAGACCAATTACTGAAGCCACCATTTTGAGGCGCAAAAGCTATTAAAGAAGGGCTGTTAGCAATTAAAATGATAGTATGTGGTGTTCAAAAAAGTCAATTACATTTCTAACAACAGAGAAGACTAACGCTGAATAGCAAGTATGATGGAAGTACTGAATGAAATTGTCTTGTTGACTGATGAGTGATATTGGTATTGATAAAAGTGCGGCCAACATGATAAAAAAATTGCAGAGTGGAGTTTAATTCTAAAATTATCGTTACTCGTTTTTTGGTATTTTGAAAACTGTTTCAGAAAGACTTTATGAAATGGCTGTACAGTAGAAAGTATAAGACCGGCTAGTCGGAGAAACAAAAGATAATATTGAAACACGCTGGAAACACTATGATCGACATAAACATGTGGCACTTTGTACTTTCAGCAATCACTATATGGTGCATAATAATCAGGGCAAGGATCATTTCCAGTGCGACTACTTCAACGAGGCGGTTTCCTCAGTGGATTTCAAATCTCATTAATTGCTACCCGCCCTTGCATGTGACGTCAAAGCAGCTTCATCTGGAAAACAAAGGGTTTTAATTTGTTCTCTTGCGAACTAGAATCTATTGTTTTGTCCTCCAGTTGGAGTTGCATTCCCACGAACCGCAAAGGGTCTATTCTCGATTCTATAAGTGGCAATATTGTTTTATACAGGTAAACAAATAACTTAAACGCTGAATTCTGGCAGAAGAAAGTGTATTTCAAGACTAAAATACATTGTTCCTGTTCTATCGCCGTTCAAAGAAATCTTTCGCGGAATGACTACATACAACGAGCGAATTCAATTAAATTTAAAAGTTAAGAATTTTCATTTTGTAACTCAGATAAGGTGGGGTTAAATATCAACAATGCATTGCGGTCTTAAAATGCGTTATACTCTATCCCAGTATTCAGTATTCAATGTTTTTTAAAAGACAAATATGCAATGAATCACCGTTTTTGCAGCCTGTTTTAGGATCAAAGAGTCCATGGCAATGACATACTCCAGAGCTTGTACAGACCTCAAATATAGTACACATTAATCATTCAATCGAACAATCGCAACAAAGTGGCCAATAGTTCATGGCATACATGCATCAGGAGTTTCAGAGAACAATGTGTCTGCCATCATGAAAAGTGAGCCCCAAATCACTGTTTTGCTTTAGAAAAAAATTCGTAGTTGCTGAGTAAACTAATCTATCATTATATCGTATATTGTGCAGCAAAGCATGATGGTCGTTGTAGTCCTCACAATTATTATAGATCCTAAAATATCTCCTTGAAAACCTTTTTTATCGATTTTCACGGTTTCTTTGAAGGAAAAGGCAATACAATATCAGTTTTGGCGTAAAAAAGGCAAAACATTTCAGGAGGACTGTTTTAGCGGACATGAAAATGTTCGAGGACTACAACTACTATCATCCTTTGCTCAGCACAAAATGCCGTCGCTGCACATTGCCTATTGAAATCTTCAAATGCAATTTGATTAAAATTTCCAATAGTCTCCTTCACGGTTCCAAGCGGGGTCTTAGAACGTAATCGTGCCAGCTTTGCATCGAAGCGAGACAACTGTTGGTCATGCAATGATAGAAACTGCTGTGAATAATAGTCTCCTTCACGGTTACCTGCGCCATCTTGAAAGGTAGCCGTACCTTTGCATCGAAGCAGGACGACCGTGCAATGATAGAAACCTGTGAATAATTGTCTGTAGGTGTGAAAGAAGGTTTCTATCATTGCACACTCAACGGTTGTCTCGCTTCGATGCAAAGGCACGGCTACCTTTCAAGATGTCGCAGGTAACCGTGAAGGAGACTATTGTCTGCAGGTGTGAGTAAAGGTAATTTCTATCCTTGCACTCACAACGGTTTTCTTCGATGCAATGGCACGGGTTTCCTTTCAAGATGGCGGGGGGGGAGCTTGAAGGGGATTATTCTGTAAAGTAAGTACAAATTCAAGTCAAAAAGCAAATCTTCGTACTCCCTGTCCGTTGCACACTTTTCCATTAACCACTGGACATTTCTTGATGTTCAGCTCAGCAAAGGACTTGCATTGATTACCGCTGCAAATCTGTTTCCAAAAACGTAGAATATTAACTAYYTTGACCTGCGCTGCAAAACTGAAAAGGCTAAAGGATTAAGCAATTCCTAGTATATAACAGGMAGTTGGAGCTGTTGACGAGGTTCCMCAAAGTTKACAGTGTCCATGCATCAGTTATGCAAGCTAAAGAAGTTGCACTAGTCAAATTGGGTGAATTTTTTCTTTACAAATGTTTGTGTAAAAAGGATAAGCGTGTTGACGTGTTGAAATATTTCTTTTTCTTTTCTTTTCAATGAAAAGTCTATTGTAACAAATAGACATACGTTGAATTTAATAGTATTTAATAATACGAATTTCTTTTCTATATTTCTTTATTTATTTTATCGTATGAGGAAGTAGTTGATCCCATTAAAGAATGCTCAATACACATWAAGTKTAGAGCTAATTATACTAAATACTGTCTGATGAGTGCGTAGCGCGAAACTCGGAGTCACAGCAAATCTTGCCTCTTTGAAATTATATATATATTATTAAAAAAATGATTCCAGCATGTATTTTTGAGCTCTACATACAGAAATAATCAGAGCATTCGTTATATATCAATAGATCTCTGAATCTTTTGMGTTACGTACGTATACCGTATCCACCACAATGCATTGCAGGATTGGGTTAGAACGTAACATGGCCGATTTCTTTTGTTTTCTCTATAAACTGATCCCACAATGCATTGAAAATCAAGTAGTGACGYAAAAGAGTCAGTGTCTATCATTCTATAAAAAGATCTACAGTTATTTATGGTTTTGTGGTCGAAGCTTCATTTCACTTGTTTTAAAAGACTGCAAGTTACTTTTGTAATGGCGCCACTCTAAGCCACCCGTCTTAACTACGTTTCCTAAATACTTTCCATTAAGATTAGAGTATTCACAGTAATCATACCACCACGCACCGGTATACAGAACTGCACAATTACCACTACTATGACCATCGTTATCTCTATCTTTGGTGGTAAAAGACCAGTTGTTATGATATGCCATTGAGTCTCCAGCTGTACCCGAATACCCGCCAACACTCAACCTGTACTTGTTTGATTCATCACCTACACTAAAGCTACCATATTTGGCGTAGATCTGAGTTCCATCCCAGTCCCCGACTTCCACGCGAAGACTTGATGGTGTTCTTGCTGTCAGTCGATGGATGTAATCGTTACCCAGCCAAAACTCGCCATTCAAGTTTCCAAAACCTGTTTTGTATTGCTGCCAATTGCGATGAAAATCGACCGATCCGTCTTTACGACGCTGGAACAAGGTCCACCCCCCACCATCAGTTGTCATGTCACAGTACACATGGAAGCTACCTTGGTTGTCTGGAGCTACTATGTATTCGCCATTACGTCTCTCTCCTAATTGGAAGATTTCAGAACAATCTTTAAAAGGAACCTTGATAGTAGATCTTGATTCTTTGTGGGAAATACCAGGACTTGTTGCAGTACAAACATACACGCCCGAATCTGTTATTTTTGAATTTTTGATTATCAAAGAACCATCTCTTACTTCATGCCTGCCAATAGGAAGAACACCATTTTCTCTTCTCCATGTTATGACTGGTTTAGGCTCTCCTGTAGCACTACAATTCAGGCGAATAGTTTTTCCACGAAAGGTGACGAGTGATGTAGGTGGTTTTATAGTGAATCTTGGCAGCCCAACAACAATAAGAATTGTTCCTTTTATAACTGATCCAAGAAGATTTTCAGCTTTACACAGATATATCCCAGAATCCTCTTTTCTCGATCTCAAAAGTGTCATTTGTCCTTCTGCAATGACGCTTCGGCTGATATTCCATGAACCAATAGACTTTGACCACGTGATCTTTGGTTTCGGATGTCCTGCCACGTGACATTTTGGCATAACAATGTCCGTACCTATCTTTTCATATACTGGTCCACTGATCAAGGTCACTCTAGGTCGAGAGTTCACTTCAATTGTCGATTTGCTGTGTTTGTTACCAAGGATGTTAAAAGCTTTGCATACATATGTTCCTGTATCAGATGAAGCGACTTGTCTCAGTTCAAGTTTACCGTTGCTGTCAATAGAAGATCTTCCTTTCGGCAGCGAACCGTTTTCTTTACTCCAAACTACAGCAGGTCGTGGGTAACCGATAGCAGAACAATGCAATATAGCCGTTTGACTTTCATTGATAACCAAATGTGAGGNTCTCTCTCCTGATTGGAAGATTTCCGAACAATCTTTAAAAGGAACCTTGATAGTAGATCTTGATTCTTTGTGGGAAATACCAGGACTTGTTGCAGTACAAACATACACGCCCGAATCTGTTATTTTTGAATTTTTGATTATCAAAGAACCATCTCTTACTTCATGCCTGCCAATAGGAAGAACACCATTTTCTCTTCTCCATGTTATGACTGGTTTAGGCTCTCCTGTAGCACTACAATTCAGGCGAATAGTTTTTCCACGAAAGGTGACGAGTGATGTAGGTGGTTTTATAGTGAATCTTGGCAGCCCAACAACAATAAGAATTGTTCCTTTTGTAACTGATCCAAGAAGATTTTCAGCTTTACACAGATATATCCCAGAATCCTCTTTTCTCGATCTCAAAAGTGTCATTTGTCCTTCTGCAATGACGCTTCGGCTGATATTCCATGAACCAATAGACTTTGACCACGTGATCTTTGGTTTCGGATGTCCTGCCACGTGACATTTTGGCATAACAATGTCCGTACCTATCTTTTCATATACTGGTCCACTGATCAAGGTCACTCTAGGTCGAGAGTTCACTTCAATTGTCGATTTGCTGTGTTTGTTACCAAGGATGTTAAAAGCTTTGCATACATATGTTCCTGTATCAGATGAAGCGACTTGTCTCAGTTCAAGTTTACCGTTGCTGTCAATAGAAGATCTTCCTTTCGGCAGCGAACCGTTTTCTTTACTCCAAACTACAGCAGGTCGTGGGTAACCGATAGCAGAACAATGCAATATAGCCGTTTGACTTTCATTGATAACCAAATGTGAGGGCGAAATAATTACTGATGGTGGTGCTAGGGAAGGACCAGGATCCCCCTTCAATCCCGGCATACCTCGGGGACCAGGAACTCCAGGCTCTCCCGGAACACCTTTCAAACCACGTGGTCCTCGTTTTCCTCTTCTTCCAAGCTTTCCTCTTGGTCCACGTGGTCCTTTTGTCCCTACGTCACCTTTCTGTCCTTTCTCTCCTTGTGGACCGGGAGGTCCTGGAATAGGGATCCAGTATCTCGCAGATTGTAGCTTTAACACTGCTTTACCAACCTCTTGATGAATTATTCTTATAATTTGTTCTTTAGGCGACTGTTTTGTGGTGTTCAATATTGGTGAATTATCAGCTCGAATGTTTCGTTTGGATATTTTGTGAGTCAGTTCCGGGTCAGTTTCTCGTTCATCCTCCGGTTTGTTTGCCGAGAAATTGTCAACATGTTTCGAGTTCCTCTTTAAGAAAATAACCTCTCTTTCTAATTTCTTTATACTTGAGGTTTGAGCATATAGCATTAGCTTCATATTCACAAATTCTTGATTATATTTTGAAGAATGGCGATCATCAATACTTGCGGTATTCCTGTCACGTTGTGTTGAGGTTGTTAACTTCTCAAATTCATCAAGCCGATTCGTTTGCCTTTTTAAGACKATCTCAATRCGCACAAATTCTCCAAAACACAAAAGCAGCATTGCTAGTAGTGAAGCCACGATGGTGAACACTGATGAAGAACGCGTAGGAGCAACTTTTTCCATCATTTTTGAAGACCAAAAGAAAACGAACGTCCTTATTATGCTTTGACGACTTTAGGTATCAAATGCGTAACGGATAGGAATGGACAAGAATTGTAACTCTATATTTTAGGGTCACTGGTTTAATGACTATGGTATAATCACAAGCTAGCACTAATATTAGCTAGGAAATAGGATATCTAGCAAATACGCCGCTGCTTTTGTGAATGCTTTTTATGTTGCTTTTTATGTCTTGCCGAAGAATTCTTTGGGCTCGCGGAACGACTCGTTTCGAAACTGACGCTCATTGACATCTTTTAGTGTGCGTTTGTAAGATGGTGTTTTACTACTCTGAGCATGTTCACTACTTTCAAGGAGTTTCTGAAAGGCAGTTCTTCCCCAGTTTCTTGAAGAGCAGTACTTCCCATATGGTTCTCAGTAATCCAAAATATTAGTATATAAATCAAGCCGAATGTAGAATTGTACGATGAAGCACTGTATAGTAGGCCCAAAGGATATGACGTTGTAGACTTATAGATGTCATAAATATCATGTGATGTAATGAATTATTTACGGACTGGTGTAATTATTTCAACTTCCGGTGGCCAAACGCGACATGACACACACATAGACAAAAAGGTAAAACTAAAGTCGGGCCCCCTTCGGGTAGCCCGACTAAAAATGACAATATATATATTATCAGTCGATGTACATCTAATTGCAACAACAACAAAAACAACAACAACAAAACAACAATAACAAAAGGACATTAACAACAACCACAAAACAATATTAACATCAACAACAACAAAACAAAACAATAACACAACATCAACAACAAAACAACAACAAAACAACAGCAACAACAAAACATAAAAACAACAACAACAAAACAAATCAACAACAATACAAAAGAACAACAACATGAACGGCACCACCACCAACAAAACAAAAACAAAAACAACAAGTCAATGTAAACAACAAAAATATCACATCAACAAAACAGCAATAACAAGAAAAAAACAACATCACCACCAACAAAAATGGTTGTCCCAGATGAGAACTTGAATAAAATGCATGCAGATTGAGCGACCATCTTTATTCTTATTACATTGTATTATTTATGCATGTTGGTGCGAAGTAATGTTTAAAGGCCGACAATGAGGACTTGACGGGGTTTCAAAGTCCGCGCAATTAGTTCCAGTCCGAGGCGTTATCATATCATAATRATGGTTAAAACATGAAGTTTTGGAATGTTCCCGCTCAAATGCAAATAAACCTATCCCAAACGCCTCAGCAAGCCGTTTATATACCCATTTAGAATAGTTCCCAGTCCCTCGAAATATACTCTTTCAAAACAAAGGGATTTTGGCTTCAACCGGATGTCGCGAAACATGAGCCAGTTGACCCGGCGTGGAACGACTTCAAAAACTCATTAATTATTCGGGAGGGAAAAAAAGCGAAGGAAATACATATAACAGAAATATATTGATTTATTGCATCTCCACTAAGGTTTTCAGTTTTCATAATTTTGAATACATGAAGCACCGTTTGTTGTTCTTCAATTCCCGGACGGCTTTCTGAAACAAAAGCTATTCAAATTGTCTTTGTCTGCTATTCATGGCATTCCTAATGAGCCTAATCCATAAGATTCGCATCAGAAACTCGGTGGTGTAATGGTATAAGACGGCGCATATAGACTGGTTATTAACCTCGCTTGCTCGATCTGTACGGGAAAATATCAGACCTCGGTCTTTTATGTACGGACCGAGCTGCTCTTGGTCCGTACTGTCAAGACCTCGGTCTGATATTTTTCCCGTACAGACCTCGCGCTCGGTTAATAACCTCTAAATATTTCTGTTATATGTCTTTCCTTCGCTTTTTTCCCCTCCCGAATAATTAATGAGTATGAGAAGTCGTTCAAAGTCCTCCAATTCGGACTGGACGGGATTTCAAGTCCTTGCAACTAATTGCGCGGACTTGAAATTCCGTCCAGTCCTCATTATCGGACTTTAAACATTACTTATTGACCTCAATATTAACAAGAAAATCTTTTTAACCGTATGAAACTGATTGTTAAGAATAATAACTGTTTAAACAAATTATATGCTCATTTTGCATCGATAACTGTCACAAGGGCACTTGAATCAAGTGCTACTTCTTCCTTGATAAGGTGGCATTTGAGATTATGACCACTTTATCTTTGGAAAGTTTCTTAAAAGGCATGAGAGCTGATCATGACATGCCGACTGTCGCTCAATATGGCTACAGAAGATCGCGTTGCGTGGAAGACAATGCTTCGCATTCAACAAAAGCACTTNCTTGACGGGGTTTCAAAGTCCGCGCAATTAGTTCCAGTCCGAGGCGCTAGCCGAGGACTGGAACTAATTGCAAGGACTTTGAAATCCCGTCAAGTCCGAATTGGAGGCCTTTGAACGACTTCAAAAACTCATTAATTATTCGGGAGGGAAAAAAAGCGAAGGAAATACATATAACAGAAATATATTGATTTATTGCATCTCCACTAAGGTTTTCAGTTTTCATAATTTTGAATACATGAAGCACCGTTTGTTGTTCTTCAATTCCCGGACGGCTTTCTGAAACAAAAGCTATTCAAATTGTCTTTGTCTGCTATTCATGGCATTCCTAATGAGCCTAATCCATAAGATTCGCATCAGAAACTCGGTGGTGTAATGGTATAAGACGGCGCATATAGACTGGTTATTAACCTCGCTTGCTCGATCTGTACGGGAAAATATCAGACCTCGGTCTTTTATGTACGGACCGAGCTGCTCTTGGTCCGTACTGTCAAGACCTCGGTCTGATATTTTTCCCGTACAGACCTCGCGCTCGGTTAATAACCTCTAAATATTTCTGTTATATGTCTTTCCTTCGCTTTTTTCCCCTCCCGAATAATTAATGAGTATGAGAAGTCGTTCAAAGTCCTCCAATTCGGACTGGACGGGATTTCAAGTCCTTGCAACTAATTGCGCGGACTTGAAATTCCGTCCAGTCCTCATTATCGGACTTTAAACATTACTTATTGACCTCAATATTAACAAGAAAATCTTTTTAACCGTATGAAACTGATTGTTAAGAATAATAACTGTTTAAACAAATTATATGCTCATTTTGCATCGATAACTGTCACAAGGGCACTTGAATCAAGTGCTACTTCTTCCTTGATAAGGTGGCATTTGAGATTATGACCACTTTATCTTTGGAAAGTTTCTTAAAAGGCATGAGAGCTGATCATGACATGCCGACTGTCGCTCAATATGGCTACAGAAGATCGCGTTGCGTGGAAGACAATGCTTCGCATTCAACAAAGCACTTTTCGTACTTCACTGGACCAAACTCCCATTATCCAGAAAAAGTCATTTGTAGGGAGCCTCCAAATTTGGAACTCCGAAAGGAAAAGAGAATCGAAGGCGTCCCGTAGGCTAACTAAAGAGGAGAGGAGGAAGTTCTGAAAGAGCTTACAAGAGAATATGGCACACGACAGGAACGTCCGCTCCAAAACAAAAGAACTAGTTGGTGCATTGCCTTAGATCGTGACCACACCCATAACGTCGTCGACGACTGTTTAACTCAGGATGCGCCTGCAGAAGGACAAAGGCGCAGTCCTCTTTTGTATATTCACATGAAATACAGGAAAGAAGATTTAGTGTTAACTATAGATACAACTGTAAAAGAGAGAGCTGTACTTATTGGCTAGGAATATTGAGCGAAACAAACATAACCACAAAAATTAGCTAGTCCTTTAAAGAMAYAATCAGAAATTATTGGAAATGGATACTTAGAAAGATTCGGCTTTTATCGGTGTAAATCTAGCTGTCTAGAGATGGAAACGTACATCCAGTTGTTTGTATAGCATGTATATATGCTGCACTTTACTGTACTTCATATACGTAGTTTGTTTGTCAGCGTGTGACAAATATTGCAAATTAGTGACGCGCTGGCCTGCGTTGCCGGCGGCCTTCGCAGGCTACTGACACGCTGAATATGAAATTTTCAGGAAAAAAAAACACTGAAAATCACGCCATTTATTATCCGGAATCCAAAACAAAATTTTTTTGGAATCCGGAATCCCAAGGTTTGGAATCCGGAATCCAATGTTTTGGAATCCGGAATCCAGCGCTTGGAATCCGGAATCCTCTAGTTCTCTGGATTCTCTTACATGGGGCGAATTTTACCATGCACATTTAGCCCGGAATAGAATACATCATCGCGCAAAGCGACACTTACGAAATTTCGTAAACTCCGATGTCAGACACGGAATGCAGCAATGTCACTACTATGTTCTCAATACCTGCTAACACTTTTTGTATTTTTCTTGTTTATGAATTTATGATTAATCATTTTTTCGTGGAAATAGTCGCATTTCGGCTTATTTGAAAGAGAAAATCCATGTCCGCACGAATAAGTCACG